TGTGTGGCCCTAATTGGTAGAAGAGTTCAGCCATAGACTGGGCAGGATAGGGACATGTAAATGAGCCATCCTTGATATTAGGAATGACAAGATCTGGCAAAGACCCTTGTTGGCCAGACTGTCAGGAAAATGCACAAATACCCCCAGTGGTGTCTGCAGGCTCCTTTAGTATCCTGAGACTTCCCAAGGGCCTGGCTCTGCCGGTGGGAGAGCAGCTTTCTTTCCAGGCTGGCCTAGGATTTGCATGTGCTTATGGTGACCCTGCAGTTTCTTCTGGCATTTCCAAGTTAAAATATTGCTGTTTCCCAGGCAGTCCAGATATTGATTTTCTTCCTCTCGAGTTACTGCTCTAGCAGCTTCGCTGGCCAATGGCGGATAGGGGTGGGGTGGGGAGAGGAGGTGGATGGGGAGAAGCCAGAGGGACGGTGTTGACCTTAGAGCACCTTCTGCTTCTTGAACTTGAGTCACCTTAAGTGATAAGAACAGGCTCTTTGATGAAGAAGCAACAGAGGGCATGTCCCCCTCAGATCCGTCCTTCCCTGCATCCCTAATCTAACCCCGGGCACCCTGGGTCCACTTGCCACCAGGGTGGTCTGGCACACAGGTGATGGGGGAGGCGGGGGGGTGCGCAGTGACAGCCCAGCAGGCTTTGAGGAACCTTGCGAGAGGAAGTGGCTTCAGAACTGCTCTGCTTACCACCGCTCGAGGGGCAGGAAAGGCAGGAGGCGGGGGGAGGTGTGGAGGTGGCGCTCTGCCGCGGGGCGGAGGGAGGGAGCCGGCGCCGGGGAGATGAAACCGCAGAGGCCCGGCGAGTCGGAGAGCGAGCGGGAGTCGGGCCGGGCGCCCAGGGTCGACCCGGGCTGTGCGGGCGCAGGCGGCGCAGGGACGGGAACAGGTTACTCTGCAGTGGCCCCAGCCACTGAGAGGGAAACTCCGGTTGTGCCTGGCCTGGTAACCGGCTAGCTCCCGTTGGGGCTGGGGGCTGACGCCACCACAGAGCCCGGGGAGGGGTCCCCAGCTCCCTCTGCCGCATCCTGCATCCCAAGCCCGGCCCCCTCCCTTGCCCTGGCTGCCTCGGGGCGGGGGCTCCGGGCTCGATGACCGTGGACAGCAGCATGAGCAGTGGGTACTGCAGCCTGGAAGAGGAACTGGAAGATTGTTTCTTCACTGCTAAGACCACCTTTTTCAGGAATGCGCAGAGCAAACATTCTCCAAAGGTAAACATAACAATGGAAACGAGAGCCTTTCATGTTGGGGAAATAACTTCAGTGGTATGGACGGGAAATCTTCCCCCTACAACACGCGTGGCCGTGCAGTCAGGAAAGTGGCGGCACGTTTGCCCTTGGAGGGCCCTCTTGAACTTGCGGTTGAGGCGACCAAGGGTTGGATCTGGAGCCCTTCAGTCAGCCCTCCTTTTAGCATTTCCAGCCCCCAGTGATCTTCAAAATGGCTCACTGGGATTTGGGGACCCCGTTTGACTTAGGGGGTGACTACATGCTCACTTGTGCCTGAGCCAGTAACCAGGCAACTGCTCTGTCTCATTTAACCCCCAAAGCCTAGCTTAGACGGTCCAGGTGAAAGGTGGATGGCATCTAGTCCCTCAGTAAGATAGACATTGGTAGGTTGAGACTTCCGTGTTGGAAATGGCCAGAAACCATCTTAAAACATAGTCCATCAACTTTGCAGAAGTCCAGGGTGTTTTCAGAAACAAACTAAAATGTCACTCCCAGGCTGCTGTCATACTACCCAATTCCTGCTTTGGGTAACCTAAAGGGGTTTGTGTGTGTCCTCTGATGAAATTATATGTGTTTCCTAAAAGCATCAGTCTCTAGACACCCAGCAAGCTTAGGCCCCCTGACTACTGGCCCAGCTGACTGCAGAGCCACAGACCTGCCAGTATCTTAGTAGGATGGGGGTGAGGTCAGGTGGGGGGGGGGGCAAAGCTGTGTTTGTTTGTTTGTTTGTTTGTTTTGTTTTTTAGGTGACAGGACTCTAAACCAAGTCCTTAGAGAGGTTACCCAGAAGGAGATGTTTATAGTCAGAAGTGAGCTGTTGAATTTCACAGATGTGTGCAGGCTCATCATTAATTCAGTAGTCCTGCCCCAAATTAGAATTAACCAAAAACTTCCCCAGGCCTGACTCTGGAGCCTCCTTTGTTACTAAGTCATCTTGCCCACAGGCCCCTGCATGTGCTGGGTTCTGAAGTCAGTCAGACATGCTGGGCCTTCCAATTGTGAGAGGACTCCCGGGAACTGAAGAACAGAATGTCATTTTATGTCTAAAGAAATCAACTAAAACAGGCCCCTGGAACCTGTGCTTGCTTTCTGGGGCACCCCCATGAGGCTGGAGAGAGGGGAATGTTCTAGAAGGTGAGGGGCAAAGGGCCAGGTGTTCCCATCCCTGGCTATAGGTGGGGCCCGTGCAGAACACCCTGGCAGCAGAGGGGAGGTGTCCCACCCTCTTTTGGGGTTCTTGCCTCATGGTGTGGCCCTCACCTCCCCCCACAGGTATGCCAGGCTATCTGGGTCTTTAAACCAGTGGTCGTCAACTTAGCTACACACTGGACTCGCAGGGAACTTGAGTGGATACTGAGGATAGCAGGGTCCCACACCCAGGGAGTCTGATTTAATTGGCCTGGGCACCAGGACTTTGAAAAGCTCCCCATGTGACGCTGATAGGCAGCAGAGGTGTTGAACTGTCGCTCCAGAGCGTGTTTTTCACCCTTCTTTTTTATCTCAGGGCACACTTGAACCTTCAGTTACACTTCTGTGGCTCACTTCCGTTACGTTGATCCAAAAAAGAGTAAAAAAAATTAATATACTCACTGGGAATTGAGCTTTTTGAAAACAATTTAGTTAATGATGTTTAAAACTTTTCTAAGATCCTCTCACAGCACACCAGGGTGCCGGGCACACCGGTTGAAAATCACTGCTCTAGAGAGTTTTGTTGCTGCCTGGGAAGGAAATGGTTCCTGTTTTCAAAACAAAGTTTAGCTGTTGTGCTTGCCGATCACTGCCAGCAAGGCTGGTAAGCCCTTGGTCCCAGGGGGTGAGATTTTGCATAATTGGGTGACAAAGGGGCATTGCAAAGCTGGGGTCTCTTTTACTTTGCAATTGAAAAAGATAGCTGTTTCTGATATTTCTTGGGAGACATAGGAAGAAAAATACCCTACAAGAAAATACACTGGGAGGCAGCACCTGTGGCTTTAAGGAGTAGGGCACCGGCCCCATATGCCGGAGGTGGTGGGTTCAAACCCAGCCCCGACTGAAAATACACTGGGATAGGGCTGGTGCTGGAGGATGACTTATTCTGTAGCCTAAACCACCTCCTTTCTTCCCCCCAATTCTTCCTAGTATCACTACCGAAAATACACCTTTAGTTAGGTGCCCACAGAAACTCTTTCTTTGCTTTGAGACTTGAATCCACCGCATATCTTGAGGCCCCTGTATATCTCCTTGGCTCACTTTGCCAGAGTCTGTAACCCCCCAAAGGGCTCGATTCCCTTCTAAGAAACTCATTTTGTTGAACCCCAGACAAGGCCTTAAGGGATAAATGCTCCAGAGAAGAAGGAGGTGGTGGGCACTGCCCTCTTAATCCCTGGCCTCTGCTCAGAAGAATCTCAGCTGCATTTTCAGAACTGCAGCCAGGGACAGTTTTCCTCAGCAGCACACTGGCCTTCAGCACAGAGCTCTCCAAGGCAGGGGACAGGGTGGGTGGGCCCAGTGGCTGAGAAGGCAGGCTGCCAAGAGGGCACGTGGCCGACTGAGGGGCTAGGAAGTTTCCTCTAAAGGTTTCAGTCTTTCATTCTTCTAAATGTTCTTTAGCCTTTAATAACATTTTTTTTAGGTCTCTCTTCCACACAGTCATTTCTGGAAAGGGTTTTTAAGAGATCTGTCATATCCCAACCTCACGCTGACCCCTAACAATGCTTTTTTCCTGCTCAAAGAGCATTCATGTCTGAGCCCGTAAGAGAATTTCTTTTTTCCTGTCTCCAAGGAAAGGACTTTATATGTTTTCTGGTCACTGAGAGACTGAGGCCCCCATTGGGGGAACGCTGAGCCAGCTGCTATAAATAGCCTTGTCAGAACAACCTGTGTCTGCTGCTCAGTCTGTGCCAGGCTGAACACAGCTTCAGGGAAGTTGCACTGCTGTTCTTGTGCCACCACCTGAGTGTTGTCACTAGCCTGTCTCCAAGGAGCTCCCGAGACCTCTCTCTAATCCCTTTGGTGGGGAGGTAGGAGGGATGGGGTAGGTCTCCCTATATCACAGAGAGGAGGTGCCTGAAGGTCAGAGAAGCAGCAAGGGAGAGAGGGACCCAGACACTAGGCCCTACTTTGGTGTCTGCTTTTGGACAATGGCATCTTCTTGGGGCCCTGGGCCCTGTTTGAGGGAGTAGGGGACCTGGTTTTGAGTCACACCAGAAAGTTTCAGGAGGCTGAGGCGGTACTCTCCTGGTACTTTCCTGCTTGGCCAGGCACAATTAAATTGGGTTTCCCTAGGTCACAACATGTCTAAATGGGGCCTGCCTGGGGAGAGCCAGCCTGTGTGCTTCGGCAGTGCAAACCCAGATGGTCTCAGTAAGGCATGTGCACAGTTACCCTAGTCCGAGATCTTGGCATCTAGAGAGGTAGGGGGATTTATCCAAGGTCATACAGTCTTGCCCCCTGGCCCAGAGAATTTTCTGCTTTAGTCTCTCAACAAATCGGGTTTGATGATTGTAGGGTTAGTGGCTGTGAAGCTAGGCCAGGCCCTCTGGCCATTCCTGCCATTTGCTCCTTTATCCCTGTCTGGGGCCAGCTTTTGTTCCTGTTAATTTCACTAATACTTGCAGGTGGTAGCCATTTAGGGTATAGACATCTGAGGAGGGACACAGGCACTCTGAGCTCTTTCTGCAGATTTAACAGGCTCCAGGATCCCAGGACCCTGGAGCCCGCTCAGAGCATTGGGGTGAGCACTCTGAGGACACACAAAGCCTGCGTCGTGCAGAATGTCAGAGCACCTCACTTTACCGGTGGAGAAAGCAAGGCTCAGAGAGGTGGAAGGACTTCACTAGGCCACACACGTGGACAGGTGGAGCCAGAACTAACACCCTGCTTGGATTCCTTGTCAAGTGCTCTTTTTCTTGGTCTTTTTCTTTTACTTAGTGAGTAACCCAGTAGGCCTTGTCCTCTCAGTGCCTTCTACAAAATGGAAATACTCAAACAACTTGGGGCTGGGTAAGGTCTTGAAAGGTCCTTACTATCCCTCTGTCTAGTAAGGCACACTAGCCAATGTGACATGGGCCTATGTTTAACACCAGCAGGAAGTCCCCATAATCTTACTCCTTTAACCATTTAAAAAAGTTCTTCCCTTGCTGTAGATGCCTGGTTAGTAAAAAAGCAAAACAAACAAAAAAAGGAAAAGTTCTTCTCAGTGTTTATACTCAAATGGAAATCTCTGGCTGGAGGTTTTTTCTCATCGGTGTTTTCTTTGAGGATATGAAGAACAGAAGGCTGACTATATTTATGGTTAAATATTTTACTTAAGTGCACTCCCATGTCGCCAGCCCCCCAGGCCTTCTCTACACTAACACCACTGAATTCTTTTTCTTCAAGAAAAATGCAAAGAGGAGGGGGTCTTAGAGGTGAGGATACTACGCAGCTTCCTGTTCCATTCTGGCAGGTGTTTGGTCTCTGCTTGCCTGGCCAGTCGCCTCCTCTCTGGACAGGGCCTCTGTGCTACTCCAGGGACACTAGCCAAGATGTTGTCTTGGGACCTGACAAGCCAACCCTGACAGCCCCGGGATGAGGCACGGAAATCCCATCTCTCTGCCAGCGGCTGGCACAGCCAGGCTTGAGGCATGGCTCCTGCCTCTGACCACCATGAGAGAAAAGAAAAGAATACTAACAGTCAGTTAGCTCCCAATTAGAACAATAAAAATAAAACGGGAATCTGCAGAACCACTGGGCCATTTAATTGTTCCAATGTGCTGTCTCAAAGGCTTATGCAGCCCAAGACTAACCCCAAAGACTCTGCACACTGGCACAGCGGCGGGCTAGCCTTCCACTTAGGAATGTTCTTGCTCGTCGACCTCACTGCCTGCTGCCCCCTCTGGCCCTTCCCAGGATCATCAGGCCTCTGTAAGATCAGAAATCGCACCTCCCTCAGATGGCCTATGATTTACAAAAGCAGGTGTTGACTAAATGCTGGTTGGGTATAGTTGCTATGTCTTCTCTCT